TAGCATCCTGACACACAAGATGTCTCTGTTAGACTATCAAGGACCACGCTATAAACCCTAGTATTCTTCAACACGCTGATCAGCAAACAAATTTTCTTCAGTAAGCATCCATTGTGCACAAACATAACCCATCCTAAATGTTACAGATGACATCTCTCCCCCTGGTGTTGTGTCTGGTGACTATGTGGACTTCTAGAGCTGTGGTGCTACAACGACCTCCAGCCTCTAACCTACTGACCAGAGAACCCCCAGTGACCAGTAGTGACTTGCCTAAGCAGATTCCAGCACCTCCCGCACCACCACACCCACCATCCACCCCACACTACGACCAGCAGCTCGCAAGGTAATGTTTGTTGGTAGTGAACATTTGAATAATCTGGAGTTCAAACCAACAAGTTATGAAATAGAAAGAGGCTACTGTTCTGGCCTTTGAGTGAGGTTAAAAGCAAATTACAGAGATAAGGCGATTTAAGCATCTCTCCTGATTGCGTAGACGGTAAGAACAATATAAATTATCACATTTTCACACAATCTGCCACACTCAAGAAATATAATTTACAGAGAGTTTACTATAAAACTTTTACTGTAACGTAAAGTTCTACAAGGGTTCTCTGAAAAATAAGGTGTCCATCAAGTGTTGCAGCCAGGCAAGCAAGTCAAATCTAGGACTAGCGTCACGTTCCTCAATTCATTCACAACAGTTTTTGTTAGGTGCTATCTGTTTGGGGCAATTAGTCTGTGCACCACCAGTACAACAACAGCTAGCCTTGCACTGGTTCAGTATTACAAACAAAAACAAAAACTACAGGGATTCAAGAGTGTATTGATTTCTCTCATTGTAAAATAAGTGATTACTGTTGTTGTATATAATATCCGATGTTGAGCGTGAATTTTTGTTCACAACCTTTGCGATTTCTATGACCAGACTAATCCTATAGGGTAGGAAACCTGATTTAATCGTAGTCGGTAGTGGATGAAGTAATGAACACGTTTGATTCAGAATTTAACTAGCTTGTTGGGATGTTTTAAACCAGCACAGCAGCTCTACCGAGACCTTAATCCATGGATAACTCTTGTAATAGCAAGTTTCCAGACATGAACAACTGGACTATTTAGAAATTGTATTATGTCTATAACTGCGGCGAAACCTACAAATTCATGTACAATTCCACCCCAGTTGTACATTGTTTATTTTAAAGTGAGGCTCTCCCGCCAACAGACAGATGATCTCAGACCATACCTAACTAAGACTGACCTAACTAAGTTTAGATCCCAAAATCTACAGTGTTGTATTCTTAGATTTCTCGGTTATTGACCACATCGAACAGTCAACCTCACTAACAGCACTTGTCAACTGTCCAAGCGTAAGAGTTGTAAGCTTGAATCTCTGGTTGTAACACATTTTAGGCAGAGCAGCCATTTTTTTATTATTTTTATAGATTTTGTAGCGGGTCAAATTTGGTTGGGGGCTAAATACAGACCATAACCAGGTCAAACTATTAAAGAAGACATCAGAGTACCTGGTGTTGGCGGAGGGAAGTACCATATGAGCTTTCGCAGACAGGAAATTTGCGTCACAATTTAAGTTCAATTTTATTTTAGTCTTGCATCCAAAATATTGGACTTTGGGGCCACAGGGTTAAGATACATTAACAACTACTTGTAAATCCGGGCACAGCCTAATGCACAATTGTTTTGTTTTCAGGTTACTTTGGGTCACCAACACACCTTATCCAGCCGTGGTTTACCACCAGTGGAAATAACTGTACAATCGGTCTCTCATAGTGAATGTAACTTCACAACAATAATGGACAGTGAAACAGTTACAAAAACTATAACAATTAAGGAGTGTAATTAATTAAATCTCATTGTAAATAAGTAATTAGGCTACTGCTGTTGTATATAATATCTGATGATGAAAAACTAGTTATGCGATAAAACTTTTGAGAAAAATCTAATTTTTCACCATAAAACAAGTTTGAGATACACATGCTAAAATAAACTGGAAGGAATGAAAAAAAAAGATCTGTTAGGTAAACTTACTGTGAATGTCGTTAGGAGTTGTATTCTACGAATGCTTTTCATTTCTCAATTTATTTCACAATTTAAATCTACTTTTTTAACTACACTGTATTTTTATATGTTGAAGATTTGGAAGCATCTCTAATAATTATAACGAATTTGTTTGCTAGTAGATACCATAATGTAAGTATATGTTACCATTGTTGTATTTTTTAATAATTTGTTGATAATTTTAGGAAAATACATTAAGTTTAACTACATTAATGTAAAAAATGTATAAGTTACACAATATACACAATAACCATGCACCTCTTTCTAAATACAGGGATTTCAGTTTTATAATTCTGTTTTTTTTTTTGTAATATAAAAGGGGAGAATATATAAGAAATTGACTAAGTCCTCTTAAAATGGGTACTGTAAGAGGTTTTTAAATTATCCAATCAATGAACAACACAACTTTAATCTTTGTAATATTTAATTTGCAATAATCGAATAATCTGTTTACCAATTGACAAATGCTACATAATTCAAACTAGATAGTATTGAATTAGATTTTGAAAACAAAATATTAGTTTTAAATAAAAACATGTTGTTTCAAAGATCTTATCTGAGTTCTAAAGGATATCTTATTTTTAATAATAGGCTACCAATATTTATTCATTATAGCTTACTAAAATAATATTACTAAATGAAATTTTAGAGCACCATCACAGCTCAACATAATCGTTGTAATATAAACAAACCAACAAAAACAGCATTATCTTGTTGATGCAATGCATGGACAGACAACAAAGTAAACAAAGACAACATTTTGTGGCAAAGGTGTGGATTACATTTAACTTATTTAGTGGAAAAGAATATTTTGTAAGATTTTCTTATCGACAGAAACAGAGAAAATCAATCAAACTTGACGTTTCAATTACTTGGTTGACTGAATTTCTTGTGCCTGATGTTTTTTTTTTTTTTTTTTTTTTAAACAAAGGGATGAATGGAGATTTAAAATTTTACTGCAGAAATATTATAGAAAGATAATATTTATTGTTTTTTTTTTTTTTGTAATATTGTAATCATGCGGTTTTCTTTACCTCTCAGCACAATTACATCACAAGATACAAATTAGGAAATAATAGTTTCATTTAAAAAATAATTAGCGTAAAATATTTCTATACTGGTACTCTTTTTACATAATGTCTAGTTTTGCATTTGTAAATAATTTACATTTTATAATATGGATTACAAAAGATTTATAATTTCATAAAATACCAGCATATACCTTAACAATTTTTAAATAATTTAGAGTTAGGTTTGTGTATTAAAAAACAACATTTTTTGTGTTCAGTTGTTCAAACCCACCAAACATATCTCTCTATTGATTGCACATTTTAATTTAAAAATCAATAATATTTGTAATTATTTATTAGAACTACCTATGTGTATATATTTTACTTGTATGTCTGTATATATAAAAAAGTTGTATTCAACTTTGTTCTTAATCACAAGAAAAATAAATATTAATATATCTACATGTTTTATTTTGATACCCTATCAATCAAATAATATGTAGACTATTTAAATATTACAGAAAAAGTACTTACTTAAAGGCCTTAATGGTATATTGAGCACAATTGGTTTTTTTACACAAAAAGTATATTTGCATTGTATTACTCTGTGTTTAAGACGTTTATGTAATTCAAATTACAGTACTTTTAAAAGTATTTAAAAAAATATTACAAGATGACCCGTGGTCAAATTGTGCATTTTAATAGGGTGAACCCCTTAATAGAAATATAATAGAAATTCCCCCCACTGAATTGAAATTTTGAGGCAATACGATTCATGAATGCAATACTCTTTTACTTTTCAAAGATTAAATGCTTAAATTGCTTATTAGGCGAATAAAACAACTAACCTAAAATAAATTGATTTGGTTGCTTTCAGATCTTCAACATTAAGTGATTTACTGGGTTTTTTTGTAGAAAAGCTGCCTATTTAAAATCTTTTTCATGTTCATAAACTGTTGAGTCTTTTGTTTTCAATCTTTTGTTAAACATTTAAATGAAAGATCAGCTGTTCATATTTAAACTAATATTCAAACTGTTAGCCTATAAAGAAAGTTAGTCAGCTTCACTGATTCTTCAAAAGAAGCTCTAAAAGTCAAAAAGTCAGACAGTAGGAAGGCTAAGCCCTAAAAGAAATTACCCTTTTAGTTACCATTCATCCCTCTGCTGGATCATAAGCTTTACAATGACACCTTAATCATAAAATTCTGTTAAGTGGGACGGTAAAAAAAAGGATGTAATAGAGAAAACCCGTATTGTAAGTATATAGATCTCTCGAGCTGCGTGAGCGAAGCTCTTATAGGTAGAGTCATATGCATTTTGACATTGGCAAACACCTCCTAGACGGCTGAAGTAATCATTTTCAAATTTTGTATGGTGATTAAGACCATATCCAGTGAGTGCCGGTATCTATATGACTTTGAAAATATTCTCCCAGGAACCCACCCCACTGGGTCTCGAAGTTTCAATGTAACCCTTTAAGAAAAAGCCAAAAGATCAGCTGTTAAGTAGAATGCAGAACATCAGGAAACTGCTGATAAATTGTTGCAACTGTTAATCACGGTAAGAACATAATCGGTATTGATCATAAACATAAACAAATAACGCCACTGGCTCGATTCTTAAACAAATAACATTAACATATGTTTTGGGAATTTGTTTGACATTTCCATTTAAATAATAATACAATACAAACATGTTTATTTTCAGGCCAGTGAAGTAATTTGTTTATGTTTATAATCGTTACAGTTTCTGCTCTAATATTTGTGCTGTTAATAATCTTGTTATGTGTTATTTTAGTGTGTGATTTATTTTTTACACACACATACACGGACAGGACAAAGACATTTATGAAAATGAATAAAAACAACAAATAGGCATATTACAATAATGCAAGGGCAGGACGTGCACCAGTGAAGGTCAGGGGGTAGAATGCACACAGTTCTCCTATGCAGTAATTAGTACGGTAATCAAAATTGTAGAAGCTAACATTATTTTTGTTGATTTCTCCGTGATCACTACTTAGAACCGTATCACTCTGCTAGATAAAAAGTTGACCTAGCACATCTGAGGTTTTAAGCTTAGAATGTAAATGAAGGTAGGTCTCTGAAAATGCGTATTATGAAATCCCTGTGTTTTTTACTTCCCTTCACTAGAAACAATATGTAACTATTTTAATCACTACAATAATAATGATCTCCACACAAATATTGTCTAAATTTAAAATTGTAAGTAAAAATAATAATAAAATAAAGCTTGATGGTGAAGGTCAATGACAAAATAAAATATTTCCTGGTAACTCTACACAATTTTGTGGACGCCTCTGCGAACACCACCTAGTTTATGAACCTATGCATATACTGTTTAGCATAAGATTACACAGGCTTTCTACTCATGAGAGAGTAAAAGAGCAAGAGCTACTTTAGACCCGCAACACATGAATAAAATGGCTGTTTTTGCTGCAGTATGACGAAAAATTGTTTCCATAGTCATATCATAGAAAAGAGAATAGATACAGACGGCCATCGGTAATTCTCTAAACGCTCGCCAGAGTGCAGGCACATCACCTCTGCCACGGTTCTCTCTTTACGTCGCCGACCCGCCCTCATATCCAACGGGTGAGATAAAATATGACACACATGTGTTACGCCCACACTCGGGTGGCTGTACTCATCTTCATGTTTCAATAAAAAAAATAATAAAACAATAAATTAAAAAAGGAAATATCTATTTAGGTTGTAACACATTAAATTTCATAATACCTAGAATTTACAAAAGAGTAAGTACCGTGGTACTTTAATTTAACACTTTCATAAGTTTTAGCTAACTTAACATCTGTCATGGACATTTAATCATTTCAATGTCAGCACCTCTTTGTTTATAACTTAAACAATGCCTGAATTGTTTAACAGGGAGTTAATAGTATAAAATTTTACTAATACCCCCGCCGCAGCAAACCTGCAGACTAAGCAAATTTCCATTAACCTGATTGGATTTATACTAAAATGCCTCCATAAAAATAGCACATTTATTTCCTATTTAAATAGAATTAGTTTAACAAGTACTTAGGTTTGCTGCAACAGGGAGGGTAAAAAAGATTTTTTTATAAAATGATAATAGTTTAGTAGGAAATAAAAGTATTTTCCAAAATCGATCAAAATATGTTCATAAACAAGCAAACTACAACAGTTTACTTATTCTCCATAAGAATAACATGGGAATTTTAAAATTACAATTTTTTTGAATTTTCTCCGTAACAATTAGGCACATAATAACGCTTCAATATACTAAATTATTTGTTTTTTTAAGCTCTACAAAATTATTTAAAAAGAAATTGTGAAACTTTGTGTTTTTAGAGTCAAAAATGGGAAAAACCTATTTTTACCCCATAAAACCCCCCATAAACCCCCGTTCCCATAGTCCGATCATGCTGGTTCGCGAACTCATTCAAGTTTATCCCGCCTTACACCTTCAAACCAAATTTTATCAAAATCGGACAAAAATTACTCAAGTTATCGTGCGGATGGACACATATATATATATAAAAATTTGAACGAATGGTGTTTTTGGCCTTTGGGGACATCAAAATGAAAAAGTAAATCGGTCCCGGGCTTAGGTCTTACCATGAGACCTACGGTAATAGCTACTTCCCTATAGGAAATTCGCTAAAAGTATCGAACTATTTCAAATCAAAACCGCAAGTTTGAACTATGCAAGTTTGAACTATGCAAGTTTCTAAAGAATGTATTATGTCTACATGGTTATCAGTGGAAAAGTTAAAAACTTAACTAACCTCGAATTTGTTGTAATGATCTTATACCAGAATGTTATAATTAAAATAATCCGTGATCCTGGTATTCTTCAATACGGTTAAAGATCAATTGAGAATACAGAAGGCTGGACAACAATGAATTCTAATAAGATGTCCATTTGTAAAAGGCTGAAAAATAGGCCATCTCATTACTTGGAGAGCTGAATTGAGAACGGTAGTGGTATAAAAACAGAAAATCAAGAATCTGGAAATGTTCTAAACAATGAAAAAACTAAACAATCAAGCATTTCAATGAGCAAAATAAAACTGTTATGTAAAATTCTTACCTGTTCAGCCTTCAAGGTTAGCTGGATGAAGATCTGTTGTAGTTTTTCATTCACAAAATTGATGCAAAACTGTTCGAACCCGTTCCTTTCAAAGATCTCGAACCCATATATGTCCAGGATACCTATACTGTTTCCAGCTACGTTCGTTTGCATAGCTTCATTGACTTGCTGGAAAATAAAAACATTTATACTGATAATTGTGTAATCAAACGTAGGTCTTGTGGATTAATAGATTCAATTATAGCTTTATCCATGACTTTATGTTAGAATTTCTTAATTATATTGACTATAAAGGACATTTTTCTAAACTTAAAGTGGAAAAAATTTCACTCTGTAACTCCTTCATCACATCATGTAATCACCTTAATGACATCTGACAACTAGGCTACATACAAAAACTTGTTATGAAAAAATTCTGTTTTAGCATAGAACTACCATAATTTCTGGGGAAATAGAGGAAGGAAACCTCAAGGGAAATGAGGTAAAGTAGGAAGTGGAGAGGAGAGCGCCAACTGGAGGAAGAAGAACTGTAAAAGAATAGAAGCAGATAGAAAGGTCAATTGACGCACAGACTCGGGAATGGCCGCAACATAAGTACTGTATGTATTTTAACATTCTCAACATAAACAGCTTGAGCTGACATCAACTTGACTTACCTTGACAAGAAAGTCAAACAGTCTAGTGTAGATTGCTTTGGCAAGTGCGTCTCTTGTGTAAGTTGCCTGTTCTAGTGTCAGCGTGACATCTATTGAGTCTGCTTCATTGCCCCACTTGCTGTCAAACTTACGACTGCGCAGTTTAGAACTTAGCTGCTCCTTCTCTACTTGCAGTAGGTGGGCAGTGAACTGTAAACCTAAACATAAGAAAACATAAGGATTTTAAATTTCAAACAATCAAGAACTCTTACTTTAAAAGTATATTTTATTTTTTCACAAGTGACTATTTTTGACGACACAAGTTCAACTTGACGAAAATGAACGGGTCAAAATACACCTAAGCCTATAAGATGAACTGCATTTTTCATACCCCACCATTCTTTACTATAACTTATTCACAAAAAGAAAATGTTTTCTTAATATCTACTCTTCTACTTTTGATGGATGACATGTATACAGTTTGTGAAAAGGATATAACATGGAGCAGAAGAGCCTAGGTTTTTGGGTTGATTAGTGAGGATAGCAGGCACACTCGAATGGAAAAGAGACCAAACTGGCATAGAAAACTCAAAATGTAACACTTTATACAAAAAACATTAGAAAAATTCACTGTCACTGCCAGCATTTCCAACTATGGAAGAGAGAGTTTTCTGTAGGTCCAACCTTTAAGAACCTTTAAACCTTTAAAACAACCTTTAAAAAACTCTTACAACCTTAAAATGCTGTCAGTGATAGTGAAATATTCTAATGTTTTGTGTAAATAGTGTTAAGTATTGGGTTTTTTGTGCCAGCTCAAACTCATTCCTATTCAGGCAAGCCTGCTATCCCTACTAAAAATCCTAAAAACCTAGTACACAGTTTAACCTTTGACATTCCATCCCCATATTAAATTTGTAGCCAGCTTTTTTTATCAAAATCATCGAAGTTGATGTGAGCCACCTACAGATTGCGCTGATCTAAATTACTAAATTCTGCCGAATACACAATCTTTTTAACCAACTCAAACTTAGGGAATGACTTATGATAAGTTATAATAAATTTTATGACCATCAACATGGTCAGCAACAAAAAATAAGGTATAAAATAGAATGTTAGACACTAGCGCATTCTGTGACTGGCTCACACAACTACATTATTTTTTAGTAAAAAATGGCTACAGATGGTCCATATAGTCTACCTCAGTATCATATAGTCAATGGTTTAACTTTACAAGGTAACTAACAATAGCTTATTCCCTATGGGGAAATTCGCTAAAATGGCTTGGCCTACTTTTGTTTAGCTAATAAACATGAAGCAGTCACTGAGGTTTTCAAATACCGTACAGTATAAGGTTCGTTAAAATTTTGTTTGTGTTGGTTTTCACTTGACTTGTTAGATTCAAAGTGAAAAATACCCCCGGCGCAGCAAACCTGCAGACTAAGCGAATTTCCATTTGCCTGATCAATTAAGATGGGGACGCAAATAGAGATTTCTTTACATTAGGACCAGAGAGTTGCGGAATTATTACATGGAATAAATCAAAATACATTAATGATCTGTGGATTCAAACCCAAGACCTCGGGAACCGAAGACTCGCGGTACGTCCAGAGTGCACGCCGATTCAGATTCAGATTTTCGGCGTGTGGTTAGATATTTTGTTGGTGGCCATAGTGGAAGCAGGAAATACGCCACCGGTAGGCCTACTGACTCGGTTAGCAAAGAAGCAAGTCAGTCATTGATATGGAATTGACGGATGAGGAATTAACGTGCAAAATGATAACGTCTGAAACTGTTGTGAAGTTACAGTCAGTGAAAATGGGGTTCTTAATATTATTTATCTTTTTTCCCATTGTTAAAAGTGATAGAGCTTCTTTCAATATTGTGTTGAATGGAGCCAGAATCCACCGAAACTTATTATTAAAATTGGATATCATACTGCAAGAAACTTCTGTAAAAACAAAACAATTTTCCTGAAGAGCGCTTACTGGTAACCCTAAAAGTAAGGATGAAAAATTAAATATTTTACAATAAAAACAAAATGTATTTAATTAAATAGTGTGAATACGAGCAAAATCTAAATCTGAATCTGAAACGAGAATGAAGAATTCATTCCGGTAAGCACCTGCCTGCGCGCAGGCTCGGAAACCGGTGGCCACTATGGACACTTCCATTCCTGCCGCCGAAAATCTGAATCTGAATCGGCGTGCACTCTGGACCAATGCACCCCTCTGGGCACCCCTGTCTCGCTCAATCCCCTTTGTTACTGACGAAGGTCAGTTGTTTCTCTAACCAGGACCATTATTAAATGTCCAATGATCAGGGACAGCTAATGATCATATCACTATTCATGTAAGAGCCATTACATGATAAAACTTCAAAAACTGAGTTGCCTGAACCTGAGTAGAGCTAAGACGGGCACAATGCACAACTCGGGTGTTTACAGTGTTCATAAGAAAGTGCAAACATTAGAATAATTTGTCCTAATCTATCAAGCTACAAAGTTGAAATATGACACTTACTCGGTGGGGAAGCAATCTCAGCGTAGTTGCCTTTTTCCGTGAACGTGATATTGCCCAGGTGCAATATTGCTGCCACGGCTCGCAATATGTCATTCTGTCGACTCTTGTCTAGTCCCATCACACTCATTGCTATCAACAATACAGCATTAATTAGGCTCTAGGCTAAAGATGTGATCCTTCGAATAAGGGGAAAGCAGCTAGCTACCTTATAAAAAGTCCAGACAGTCCATAGTCCACATAGAAGACGCAGAACACAGATTATTTTATTCCATTAGGGACTAAGTTCTGGTTTTTTTCTAAGGTAAGCTAGCTGCTATCCTCTAAACATTAACAATTAGTTTCTGGAGGACTAGCACTTGACACTTGGAAGGAGGAACTACACAACACAGCTAACTTACCCAAGAAAAAAGTTCCAAGCAGTTGACAGCACATTGGATTCTAATACTTTCTTCTGTAGAAACTCCATGATAATCTAATCCTCTAATCCTCAATTAATTTGGAGGATATGTCTAAAGCTGTTTTTAAAATGATTATAGAATTAAATCATCTAAGTTACTGGTAATTTGTGTGTATGTGTGTTATAGCACAGCTGTCTATTGAGAGAAATGAATGCGAGAGATAATGTATTCCTCGACAGAATCCCGTTGAACAATCTTAGAACAGTTAAAATTAGCTCTCTGATATGATCTCCCTCAAAAACTGTTCATAACAGAAAACACCACAAGCTCTATGTTGACATTAGTATCACCAGTAGTTTTTTTTTTCTTTTTTTTAATTTTGGACAACTAAATAAACTAAATCTGCATAAACTCGCCTTTCAAAGTCTCATTGAATTCATGAGCATCGTTTGTGCCTTCCACTTTGTGACTACCTCCTCCGCTGAGGTATAAAAAACATTCTATCTGCACCAAACCAAGCTCACCTGAAAAAAATAGGAGTATAATTTAATACCAGTTCCCTCAAACAAGAATAAATCAAACTTTTCCTAAATAGCTTTAGTCTGCAATATATGTAGTTTTCAAATATACAGTATATTTAAAATATATTTTGTCATAAAAATGCAACAGAGGTTTTTGGACGCAGTTCTAGACGTTAAAATGGCTTTAAACAGTCACTAAACGGCTTTAAAATTAGGAAATTTTAGGGGAATTTCCGTGGTGAACGGTTATTTCCGGTGAACGGTTATGGAGTACAGGTTATTTGCAAATTGCAACACCATCTAACATATCTATTTAACTTTTTGTCATGCTTCCTATTGAAGACCCAAAACATTTAAAGATTCGCATGGTAAACAAATAAAAACATTGACTAATTACGTTTTGTTGCCTGGTCCGTTCCACTGCACAACTGGTAGAAGATATGGAAGGATCTTTCTCCGGGGTTTTGTGACGTAACTCGTGACTTTTCCAGAAGAAAATTTGATACTTTTCCTCCCTCTGGTTGACCTCCGGCTCCAAACTCCATCTCCACATACTTGCCCTACACACACATATAACTGATAACATCGATGCTAAAATTGGAATATTTACTTTTTACACACCCTAGTTTCATAAACATAATCAACATTTTATCTTATATTAAAAATAATATAGAACTCATAATAGGATCTACTTTCAACCGAAGATAAAACAGATTCAGATTATAGATATTAAAATCAATTGGCTTGACCATATTTTTATAAACACAGGTTTTCTTGACTTTAACCACAAAAGATTGCATTAAAACATTAAAAAGCTATTACATGTTTCTTCAATCTAAGAAATCAACAGACAGGTTATTGAAACAGTTCATAATTTAAAGTGAAATATAAATGCTAACATTACCGGAGTCTTACTAACAACAGTTAATATGGTACTTAATTTTTTTTATGAACTGGGTCGTTTGAAAATTAATCTTTTAAAATTAAGAATTTTCAAGACCAGAAATAAAATTACGGTATACATGTATATTATTTGTTCTTTTAGGCTCAAGAACTTTTTATTAGATAATCTTTTCGGTTGTTGAGTCTGTTCTTAAGTAAAAGTTTTACTCAGGCAAAAAACAAAAAAGGGAGAGTTTTCAGGACGGGAATCTTGTCATATTATTCTGACAATGTTTGATATTGCCGTGGTGGCAGGAGCAAGATGTTGCTACAATCACAGGAAGACCACTATGTCGTAGTGATTAAATGAGAATTAAAGATTTGCTAACAAATTCAAAGTTGGGAGTCTCGAGAAATAAATTTTATTTTTATCACTGGTATTAAAGGTTATGTTATGTTATGAGGAAACAAAAATCGTGATTGGTATAACCTCACACACCGTTTACTGTCTGCAATCAGCTAATAAACTTACAAATCTGCTAGAGTTGTTGTTGCGCACTGTCTTGGCATTCCCGAATGCCTCCAGGAGGGGATTGGACTGTAGTATGACATCCTTGACTCTCTGTACTCTACTGCCACCTCCACTGACCCGGGCGATGTACGCCATTATGTACTTGGCAGCAACTGTCTTGCCTGCGCCCGACTCTCCACTAGAACAGAGAAAAATGTCAGAGAATTATAAACATTTTCCAAATTATGAGATGACCACACATGGGGAGGAGAAAATTTAATGAGGGAAGGCTGAGATTTAAATATTAGAAATATTGGTTTGGAAAAAGTTATTTTGCACAAATTTAATGTTTTATGTTAATTCTAATTACTACATAATAGCATTTGGAACAAAACATGTATACCCCGGGAGAACCGCAGGGTCTCGGTTTGGCAGTCATACATGTCACACAGACACCTCATGTCAACACAACAAACAGGCAACACATTCCATGCTACGACCAAACCATCAAACGTGATGTAGCAATCGATGTATCTAATACTTTGTAACACTAAAAAAACCAATCAAATTGCAAAATTATGCAGGCTAGTGGAGTTGCCACTCACTGCCATTGCCTAATTGCCGCTAGTAAAGGCAATGACTGAAATTTGCCAAACTGTTATTTGGGCTAATATTAATTGTATTAAAAATTGATCCATACCAGATCGTCACAACAATTAATGAAAAATGAGTATTCATAAAACTTTGGGATCTGGAATCAGATCTTCAAGTGTTTTTCAACCCGAAACCATGTTGAAAAGATAAGCTCACAAAAATAAAAACTTAGAAACATGCGAAAAATAATGAATAGGTATCTTTTGTCAAAATATCAATATATACAAAAACATAGTATAGTTTTCTAAAATTAGGTTATATTATTTTGCCAACACATAAGGGTACACAAAACCAGCTAATTCTGCAAAAGATAAACCACAAAAAGTAGCCTATAGAAGTCTAAAGAAGAATGAATAAATTGGGTTCAAACTCTTAGGATTGCCAAATTGTTCGGATTAGCTAGAAATTTGCTTGAAAAAATAAAAAGTGTATTTTGATGACTAAATGGCCATAAATATTTAAAAAAAATTTGCCCCTACTACCACAAGACTGTAATCGTCGTTGATAACAGCTACACTATGAGTATTTTCTGTGATCGTTTTCTTCATATTATATGACAGTTCCAACTGTAATGAACCGACCGAGCACCATTTACGAATTAACATCGGTTATAGGATAACAGCAATTATTCTTTATTTTGCAATTCTATGCAAAATTCACATTTCCTGGTTTTCACAGTGGTTAGTATTTGAGAATATACAGCTTGGTTTATAATTGCAATACTGTAAGCCTAATCCTTTTTCCACAGGTGGGTCTGGCTTGCATCGTTCAGATTAGCAGAGCTCTCGTACAAAAGAAGTTAGGCGAACATAATGGACAATTTCAGTGAGAAACGAGGATGACGTCGCCAGAAGACCTGACACAAAGCCACAAAAAAATCCAATTTTGACAGCTTGGATTTCCCTAGTTCCAGAGTGTAGGTTGTCGTACTAAACTTACTAAAAGTTAACAGGGCGTGTGAATTTCAAAAAGGAGAAAATTTCACTTTCTTTTAAAGTGTTATTTTGTTGTTAATCGCGATGGAAAAATATCCAAAATATTCTCTCAAATAACATAAAATTTAAAAACCTAAAATTAACTCAAAATAAAGATCAGAGTGATTGTATAGTCCAAGGAAATAGCTCCGTTTTGTGGTTTACCCAATATAAAGTAGAACATTTGACCTTAGTAATAGAACCTTGGTTTGGTGCATTTTAAAAGCCTAAAAAATGTGTCTTTAAACAATATAGAAAATTAGATTCCAGGGGCTAAGGCTACACAATAGCAATGAATACTGAACCTTATAAGAAGCAAAACCGCTCTATTAAAAGACAAGACTCTACGAAGATTGCCGCCAGCGGGAGTTCACGAAGACTTATGTAGGAAGCGCTAGAGTCGCCAGCTAAGTCTTTGTGAACTACCGCTAGCAGCAGCAATCTTCGTAGAGTCGCCTCTTTTAATACGCCGGTTTCGCTTCTTATAAGGTTCTGTATTCTTTGACAATCGTAAAAATAGTTATTTGTGCAACTAGTGAGAAAAGTGAGCAATTGACTCACTCGAGAGAAATCCTTACTCACGAGCCGTAGGCGAGTGAGGAATGGTTTCTCAAGTGAGGCAATTGTACTTTGAACTCGAGTTGCACATTATAATTTTCCTACAGTTACCATAAAACAAATAAATTGGTGAAGAAACATAACCTATTTTTACACAGAAGTGAACTTTTGATATAACATTTAACAAGAAGTGACAAATACAACAGTACAACAGCTGACCAGCTGATTTACAGCCAGTTCTGCCAACGTATTTCGCGCTCATACGACGTTGCCTGCATGTTACGCGCTCACTATTTCTTGCATTCACGTTGCAAATCTGGAGTGAGACAAAGTAATTAGAGTGAGACAATGTTAACATTGTCTCACTGATGAGTGAATTGGCCACTTTGCTTTCTCAAATCAGTGAGAGAACATGTACATTGTTAGGTAACTGTAGGAAAAGAAAATACCTCTTCTTAGTCTCAAATACATGAGGACAGTCATAGTAAACACATATTTATTTTACCTTATGATCACACATTGGTTTTCCCCATCTATTATCAAGTTCCTAAACATATTATCGGCCACTGCATAGATATGGGGTGGATTTTCAAACGGAGCCTGCAAATAAAGACAGATAACTGTAAACACTCTTTTAAATATCGATTAGTTGAATTGTTATCGCTATAAATTACTGAGTATTATGATTGTTTATGCCATGTAAAGTAGTTTTTTTTTCCTTTCAAAGAAACTATTGGCCTGTGTGATGAACATATGTGAGCTTTTTTTGGTAAGTTAACAAAATCACAAAACTAAAATTTAGTAAATTTTCACTTTTCAAAATATTTTCCAAAATTGAGACCATCTGTGTTTTTTATTATATTCAAACAACTATTACCATTACTTGAATTCACTCTACCAACGCAATAGTAACTTTGAATTACTGAATCTTATACATTTCACATAAAATGTAGTTATAGGCCTAATGGTATTGTAATAAATTAAACTATTTATAAACAAACACTAAACTGTTCACCTATAGTGTAATATACTTATAGATTAGCCTATTAAGAACAATTTTTTTACAAATTTTAAAAGTGAAAAAAATGTAGAGCTTGACTCCAGCAAATTATTGTTTTACTCTAAGGAAATACACCAACTTTAGACCTGTAACTTCTTAAGTCAATGTCTTGTCACTGCGACATAGTACTATACTCTGTTCATAAAATATAGACGGGTTAAAGAGAAGATATCTGTCTCCTCCACTTGACCGGGTTTTTATCAAAATTGTTGTAATTGATGTGAGCCACCTACGGATTGCGCTGATCTAAATTTCAAATTCTGTCGAGTGCACAAACATTTTTACCAATTCAAACTTAGGGAATGACTTATAGTGAACTATAGCACCTGTTATGGCCTATCAACCTGGTCAGCAACAAAAAATAAGGTATAAAATAGAATTTTAGACACTAGCACATTCTGTGACTGGCTCACACAACTACGTTCTTTTTAAGTAAAAAATTGGCGACAGCTGGTGCATATAGATGGGATGTCTACTTCAGTATCCAATAGTCAATGATACTACCTCTAAAACAATAGTTCAACAGCTGAGGTTTGCCAAAAATTCAATCAGCTGCACAATAAATTAAAATTAAGCAAACAAAAAGTGGTGGGGGAACTTTCCCTTAAACCACCAACACTTTTTTAACGGGCTATAATCATAGACAAATAAAATGAATATAGACCGGTAGCAGTGTTTCGTTTAGCATTTGTTAGCATAGGAGTGTCGTGTAGTTACGGCGCACACCGCTGCAGCGTCTACTGGTAGCACTTGGCTCCATCACTCCTTGCCTGCAGCGGTATGCGCCCTAACTACACGGCACTCCTAGCGGTTGGCGCCGGAAGTTTCCTTTGACAGTCTATATTTTTTCTATTTGTCTATGCTATAATACAGATGTAATAGTTAATAAGGAATTTGAATGTTTAAATTGTAACTATTTATCTGCATTCTGCAATATAAAAAGTTAGCATTATCTATCATTCAGATTTGATGTATAACAATAGTGAATCAATAAATTACAGCCTAATATCTTAGTATTTTTTACAAGGGTTATACTCACAGCTCCCTGATACATCTCAATTTCCTTGTCACCAAAGTACGGCATCTGTTTAAAAGGGTTGACTGACACCAAAACCGGCCCAATACAGGTCTGTATATGTGTTAAGGAGTTTTTATTAAGAATGTACGCCTAGCAAAATGTTTTCTCTTCTTTTGCTTGAACAGTTACTGAACAGAAACTGTAACAACTTTAGCTTCAGACAAACAGTATGTTCACAAGTTACTTAGTATAAAAGATTCTTCAACACAACGGAAATATAAAGTATTGTTGGATAGAGAGTAAGGGTCTTTGGAGGCTAGGGGCCATCCTTGGATCATTTCAAACAGTTGCTTAATTTATTTAACAACCAAAAATTTTAAAAAGTTTTCAACACATAAAGTGATTAGAATGTAAATATCATGGACACTGTGAGATTAGAACATCTCTTTGTAGTTTTGAATTGTTTTCCAAGGGAGTCCATGGAAGCTAACTGCTTCGATCTTAGATTTGCCCGCCATAATTGCAATGTTAATTTTGTTAATTTCAAACAGTCTCTGAAGAGTTATTTACCATCTCAAAAAACTTTATCAAACACCAGAGGGATCGTAACTTAAATATTTAGTGCACTGTGACGTTATAAATTTTCTTTGTAGTTTTTTAATTGTTTTATGAGTTTGAAGAAATGCTTAAAATTTAAATCCTACAAGCAAGCGAGAAAATCCTACTTAGTCTATGTCGTGATTATGGACTAAAGATTGCTTAAGTTGGCTGGGATAGGTCTATATGTACTAAGAGGGGCTACAAAAGATTATCAGCAGCAAACCTATCTGGAAAACAAAGATAAGGGCACTTTGTTAGACCAGATAACTTAATCAATTTCCAATACACTTTTCTTCAGGCTACACAGTTGCTTAGAAATATAATCATTTTCTTACTATTCTTTTCTTCAAACAAAACTATATTTATCACGCATGCAATATTTGCAATAAATTAATCATTGTATATGCCTGCAAAAATTGTTATTTGCATACACCTAAATTTATTTACTGTAATCTATTTAGGTATTGTGATTCTTATTAATATCATTAAGAATTTTTCGCTATACTACTGTAAAATGAACTTATTTTGAACTTATTTTCATAAAAAAAAAAATTAACTAAAGGTACAATTATAGTTTTAAGGTTTTTCTTTTTAAATAAGGCTAGTATGTGAGTAAATTTATACAAAACGGATAGTGTACATGTTTGTGGTTTCTTATTCTCAAACATTATTATACTAACCCAACTAAAAAATTATTTCATCAATTACTTAAATAAGTTACAGTGCCTCTTTCCATCACATGATGGAATGATCATACAATCATACTATCAGCCAATGACCAATACTACGCCTATTATAAAGCTCTTATCATTGCCGTGACTCGGATCTGACATCATTTCATTTGTGTGCGTCTTCAATGATTTTGAATTTTTAAATTCAAGTGTGATGGGAAACCCGTCAATATTTTAGCGCAATAGTTACAATCACAATTTACAAAAATACAGTCTTGAAATCAATTTGGTTTAAAATAGGCCTACTAAGCCAGCTTGAAATACACGTAGGCTAGTTAAATATGGTTCTGGTCGAAGAGTATGTAGGCCTATTTCAACAGACAAGATAAATAATTTTATATATCGCCTAGATAACACAAACTGGGACTTCATTTATAATACTGGTGCGGCTGAAGATACCTTCAATTGTTTTTTTTTCAAAATTTCCTTCTTATGTTTAATGAATGCTTTCCCACAAGGTTACTGCCTACAAAACGCTCCAAGAAAAATCAAAATCTTCCGGACTGGAATGACCAATCCCTAGTAACGTGGAAGTAGTGGGTGCTCCTAGCCTATGATCTCTACAGGGACAATAAAACACCCGATTCAGAGCTACGCTACAAAACTATTAAGAAGCAGTACAAACAAAAACTTCTATCAGCTAGACTGGAAAGAAATGTTCGCTTCATAGAATCTGCCAGTAATCGCTGTGCAGCAGCCTGGAAAGTTATCCATGAAGAAGGTGCTCCGTCCAAATCCCAGTTGATATCTTCAGTGACTGCGGAAGCTTTCAACGCCCATTTTATTGACTCCGTCCAGCAGACCAGAGATGCTATCAACGGTTCAGCCACTTCTGCCCTAGATATGCTGGAGAAACGTGACCCTGCAGCCTCACGGTTCAACATTACCCTTTTATCCTGTGAAAGTGTGATACGGGTGGTCCAGAAGCTCAACAACTCTCCAAGCAAAGATATATTTGAGGTATCTGTCAATCTTATTAAGAGTGTGTTTCCTAGCATTGTTAAGCCTTTTACCTATTGCCTGAACCTGTCTCTTTGAAGGAGTCTTTCCCCAAAGACTAAAGATAGCCAAAGTTATACCTATCCATAAGAAAGGTGATCCAAACAGTCCAGAGAATTTCCGCCCTATTTCCCTACTCCCAGTATTTTCAAAAATATTTGAATCTGTAATTAAGGATCAGTTGTACAAATATTTCGAAGAGCACAATCTACTCATGACCGGCCAGTGTGGCTTCAGGGCGGGTCTCTCGACCATAGATGCTCTAGATAAGCTTGAAGCAGTAGTACTGCATGGATTTGAGGCTGGAGGCTTTACTGGGGCCACCCTGTGTGATCTCAGTAAGGCTTTCGACACAGTCGACCATCGGATACTGCTGGATAAATTGAATTTTTATGGAGTAAAGGGCTCTGAACTCAGGCTCATGGAGTCATACCTGGCTGGGCGTGAGCAGAGGGTGCTCATAAATGGACATATCTCTAGCCCTTGTCAGATCACTCATGGTGTCCCACAGGGGTCTGTACTTGGCCCCCTTTTGTTCATTATCATGACCAATGACCTCATTCCAAATTTTGGAGGAAATGTCGTCTGCTATGCTGATGACACTACCCTTTTCAGTTTCTCTAAAGACCTGATAACTCTAAATGGTCAAATGTCTGAGTCCATGGGGATAGCATCAGCATGGTTCCGAGCTAACTTTTTTAAGTTAAATGAAAGTAAATCCCAAACCATTGTTTTCACTTTAAATCAGATGGATCATGAAGTTTCAAATGTTAAATTACTAGGCCTATATTTGGATCCAAAGTTAGACTGGCACTGTCATATTTCTCATGTCTGTAGTCGCTTGTCTAGGGTAATTTTTCTCCTGAGAAGACTTAGAGACTCTGTACCCAAGGAATGGTTAAAAACAGCCTATGTAGCATTTTTTCAGAGTGTACTTCTGTATGGTTTGCGTCTGTGGGGCTCCGCATCTGGGGTCGAGAGGGTCTTGCTTCTGCAAAAGAAAGCAATAAGGATTGTGAATGGTGCAGATTATCTGGACCAATGTAAACCAATCTTTGTTGCCGAGTCCTTGATGACAGTTTACAATCTCTTCATTTTGCAGTGTCTCATGTCATGTAAGAGGAAGCTTGGCACTCTCGAGCTCAGAGGAGGGGTCCACCACTACAACACTAGGAATAAGCAGGATCTGAACATACCTTATGTTAGACTAAAGAAAACCCAGGCTAGTAAGGAAATCTTAAGCTTGAAATTAATGAACAAATTGCCTTGTACAGTTCGGAACCTGCCAATCACTAAATTCCAAAAGAGGGTGAGGGAGTTCCTATTGGCTAACCCACTTTACTCAATCCATGAGTTTTTTGAACTTCCTGACAACTTGTAAGTATGTTTTTTTATGAGTTTTTGCAAGTGTGGTTTTATTTTATTTTCTATGCATGGAGTGTTACAGGAACAAACAAATCATGTAATTTTTGCAATTTTTTAGTACTCTAACCTAGTATTAGTTTATTTGACTTTCTCCATACATGTATCATGTTCACGGAAATAAAGCATTTCATTTCATTTCAAGCATTTCATTTCATTTCATTTCATAAACATAACATTAATCTTTTCTTAACCAGCAAGTTATACTAAATATGAACTATCTCAAGATAAAACGTTACAATTAAACTTAATCGACTTTTCACTACCGGTAGCTTAGGACTAAACATTTTTTTCAGTTCAGACCACTTCCCTTAGGCTGCAGTAAATTTTAAAAAGTACTACATGGACAAACATATAAATTTTTCCCGGGTACCTGTTCAGTAATGATTTCCAGCTGTAAAGAATGACCCAAGTTAAGTAGCCTAATAATACTAAACAAGATAATCCAAACCATTTGAACAAAATTAAAATTAAAAGGTATAAAACACAAGGATACAAATATATAATCGTCCATATATCGCTTCTTGAGGTTGTCAACGATTGCGTCGTCTGTAACAGTTGACAGAAGAACCATATCGTCAACTCCTGAGAGCTTGACATTGTGAGATTGCCAGTGATAAACCTGTAAATAAATTGTAATTACATTATAAGATGTCAAAATTTGGAAAATTTGGTCACCAATCAAACGTAGCATTCTGGACCTTTAACTTAGCCAAACTATTCATGTACAGTTGTTTGAGCTAACTTATGCATAATTTGATTGCCAGCGAGGGTCATATTAGGCTACCTAACTATTCTTACTCAGACAAGCAGTTTACACATTCTAGAGGTTTGGTTCGGTTAGGTTATGTTAGAATAGCACCATTTTATTATGTAATTTCTAAACATTTTATAATAGAATACCAATTCAGGTAAGACGGCTGCCAAGTCAAAAATTTGCCAGAATCATTAAAAACTGGCTTTTAGAAAACCCATTCTATAGCCTAAGTGAGTATAACGAAGCAGATTTCTCACCAATGACGATTGGACTTGAATAAAGTGATTTATAGCAGCCTGTTCTTGCATGCCGTGTTTGGTATAAATCTTTTTTACTTATTTTTATATATATTTTAGTGTTTTCTGCATGATGTTTGTGCATGTTTTTATTTCATTATTATGGACTGACTATTGTACGTCAAGAGGATTATAATTTGTGACCTAGCCTATTACCGGTACCTACTTAAATGTTGAATGGCCCAATAAAATTTTGATTTTGATTTGATTTTTGAAACGTCGGAATATAAATTAATAAATCATAAATAAGGATAAAATACTGGTAGCAATAATACATTATTAACTTATCGGTCTTAGAAAGTGAAAAGTGTAACTTAATTAGGTGATTTTCATATTGCAGAATCAGAGTTTTAGCTAATTAAAGTTGTCACTTCCATTTTTTACTTGAATATGATTGAAAACAATCAGGTTGGTTTACTTAACCCATAGTTCATTCCACTTGTAATGTCATCCATCCTACCTTGTTTGTTGTAATTTTGTATATTAGGTTATTACGGCGATATCTTGAGAAATGTTCATCAGCTGTGAAAAATAATGGTATATTTGGATTCAGGAGGTAAAAAACTATAAAGTAAGATATCAAAATTAAAAATTTGTTTGGAGGCACCTAGGCTATACGGAATAGTTTACCGAAAACTCATGGTTTTTCCATTTTTATTCTAAATATCTAAGTTAAGAAAAGGGGTACACTTCCATTAGTTATCTGTTGGCACAAACAACCGAATGAGTAATATTGATTATTCGACTGTTTAATTCGATAGGCTGCACTTTACTTGACGTCCTACACTCATTCGAATGAAAATATTGATCGATATACCTATCGATTAATCGATATCTTCATTCGATATATCGTTTGGTTAGTTAAGGTTAACCTAACCTAACTAACCAAACGATCACTAAACGATATATCAAACAAAACAATCGAATGAAAATATCGAAACGAAAAAACAATCGAATGAGTGTAGGACGTCAAGTAAAGTGCAGCCAATTCGATATATCGTTTGGTTAGTTAGGTTAGGTTAACCTTACCTAACTAACCAAATGATATATCGAATAATCGATATATCAATCGATATTTTCATTCGGTTGTTTGTGCCAACAAATATGGAAGTGTACCCAAGAAAAGTAGGCTAAGTAGGCTATAAAATACCTTAACCTTAAGAAAATGCTTTGATAGGCCTAATATCACAGATTCTCTGGGAATCGAACTGTATCCTCCTTGGTGCTTGGGTGACTGGCGTCACATAGCTTAATTTGGTGGTTTAAATTAAGTTAGGCTAATTCCTATTGACTACAATCTTTATGGGCCAAGTAGGCAGGCCTTTAATTGAATACCTAAACTTGGTAACCGTAAACCTCATAGCCTACTTGGTCTGGCAATTATTTAGTTGATATAAGAATTCAAATAAACGACAGATTTTCTTCAACTAGGAAGTAAATTACTTCATAGGTTAGGGTAGGCTTAGCCTAACCAAAATTTAACACAATACCATTGACAAAACTTAGATTTGTGTACTTGCCATGATGGTAGCAATCAGTAGCGTCTTCCAGACACCTAGATAAATGTACACTAATTTGGATTATATGAGTGTACAAAACTAATTCATAAAAACCATTTAAAGTTCACACACACTTGACACACAACACTTGACATTTAACTTCAGAAGACAACGACTAACGACATTGACATAACGACAACAACATTTTACTTATTTTATTTTTGTTCATTCATTCATAAGGAATTATGAGTCACAGCTGTTCCTGGTTCAGTCAGATGTTAATCTAATCAGGCTGACTGACTCACTCCTCTGAGCTGAGGAAACAGCTGAGTCTGACGTCTGACTCATCAATAATAAAAAAAGATAGAAACAGCTGTTGGCATGATTTCTGACAAGAACTGTTATCCTACCTGCACAATTTGTTTTTCAGGATTAATTTTGCCAACAGCGTCATTTAGAGGCTTCTGATTGACTATAACGAAGGTTTAGTAATTGAAAAATTATTTTTGTTCATAGAATAAAATTATAAATGCCTCAAATTCATTTTTTTATATATATTTTTTAAATTAAACCGTCATAACCTAACCTGACCAACCAAACGTGCTAACAATGAAAAAATCTAATGAAGGTTTATTAATCGAAAAAATAGTTCTGTTCATAAAATAAAATTATAAATGCCTCAAATCCTATTTTACAATTGTTTTATTCTAAAATTAAACTATCATAACCTAACCAAACTAACCAGACTTGCTTATAATGAAAAATCAAATGAAGGTTTAACCGAAAAAAAATCTGTTCATAAAATAAAACTATAAATGGGTCAAATTCAATTTCGTAATATTTTAATTATAAAATTAAACCGTCATAACCTAACCAAACTTGTTGATAATGAAAAAAATCCAATTCAAAAAAATAATGCTACGGGTGGGATTCGAACCCGGGTCCTTCGGATCATCAGCCCAGCACTCTATCCAATACACCACCGAGGCCGATGGCATCAACCGTATCGTCGCGGTAATGATGTTCCCTCAGCCAATCAGAAGCCTCAAAATAATACTGTAGGCAACACTAATCCTGAAATAAAAATTCAGCATCCTACCTAATGCCGTTGAGCATACTCGTATAGGCCTACTACTGAGTACGTGTATACTCAATGCTATAGTTCGGCCGCTTAGAAAACGACCTGCGCGCTAATGCTAAACCAATGCTGGAGGAGGTCGCTTTCTAAGCGGCCGAACTATAATGCTAATAGATTAATAATAATAACGAAATATATACGATTACAACTCATGGTGGAAGGAAAATACATAGGTGTGCTATTCCCGTCATAAGATGACGTCACTCAGGTTGCAAAACGATTTTACCATTTAGAAAAATTATAATAACAATCAAATCAAAACAAATATGTACTTATATGGCAAACCAATCAGGTGTTTTTTTTTGTTTGCAATCTCGGTGACGTCAGTATATGACGGGATTACGGGAATAGCTCACCTATGTATTTTCTTTCATTTCACCATGATTATAACTTACAACCAGCTGCAGGGGCGTCATTTGGGGGGGGGGCATTTGCCCCCCCCTGGATCCTTGGCTAGAGAAAAAATATGCTGTACTAGCCAATATACAAATATTTTATCCTGTCAAATCCTAAAAAGCACAGCAGACAAAAATCTGTACCTATATTCTTGTACAGTAATTTGAAACAAAAATTATTATTGTTTTATTGTCTTAGATAGCAAATTTTGAGTTTACATAAATTAGTAGTTTTGTTATTCATTTACTTTTTCTGTTTGGTGCTGTACGATAAACCACTTACTTCTAGTTTATATAAATACATAAAAATTCAGATTTTTTGGAAGCATATTGCTTTGTCATTTACTTTTATGAATTATTCAAGCATTAAAACTACATGTGTATACATTTTACGTAATTTATTTTGAACATTGTAGACTACGAATTTAATATAGTTAAATAGCCTTTTGTTCTTTTGTGTCAAATGATTTTATTGGTGATAAAATTTGATTTGCTTTTAAGTTCTTAAATACTTGTATTTTATTTAAAAACTAAAATAAACTGTTTATAAACTATAGGCTATGAACATACCGTATTCATTGCTAAATGTTGTACAAGAGAAATTGGTCATGAATCTATAATAACAAACATAATATTAATACATCATGGAACTATTGATCACGTTTCTTAGATGACTAACTTACCAACATAAAATTGTTGTGTTTCTGTCTGTTGTCAATAATTCTTAGTTTCATTAACTTTCTGCCTAAATTTAAATCAATTTTACTCATAATTTTTTTTTATTTGAAGTGCTTTTAACAATTAAAATAAGCTTTAACCCCTCTTTTTTTGTTTCAAAACTGCAAAATTTTCCGAGGGGGGACCCCCCTTGTTTGCTGGGGGGTATTCCATACCCCCCATGCCCCCCGGTGTTTGCCCCCCCCCCAAAGATTTGGTGGAATGACGCCACTGACAGCTGTGAATTGTTGATTGGCCGAATAAAATCATTGTATCATTGTGAACAGTGTTGTAGTGTGTGGCTGTGCTGTAGTGCTGTCAGCAGTGTCGACAGCGTGGTGACATGTCGTCTCAAATGGAGGAGCGAGGAGGTGATGGCGTATGCTGCGATTTTGGAAGAACTGCAGAAAAGGAATAAAAGTAGGAAGAGAAGTGGAAGGAGGTTGTGGCATAAAGAATTGCTTAACAGAAAAGCACCAACCTAACCTATGTCAATTTATTGGAAGAATTTATAGACTGTATCACAAAGATTGGAAACACGATTTACTTACCCTTAAAATTAAAATTATTGATTACTCTATCTACACTATATGCACTGTCACTGAACAATACAAAACACTCTACGACACTGACGCCTGGCGGCGCGCCAACACCACACAGCCGCACATACCGATCGGCCTGAAGGCGGGGGTTTGGCCGGACGACGACCCCATACACGTAATGATCGGCTGACCGGCATATGGACTGTTCAGGCCGGGCCGCCCGGCCGATCGTTACGTGCATCGGGGGGCCTTTACGACGCGAGCCTTTCAAGACCGGAAAATGCCGCGCGTCTGCGCATGCGCAAGTAAGCGTTATTCGTAGCACTTGTAACAGCTGTTTCAGAAAATCACACTAGTATCTTCACTGCAACTCTTGCAACAATCTACTTGAAACTGAACGGTTCTCCCGCGCTTAACTCCAAACCATTTAATTACTGTAACTGAATGAAGAATTTTACAGATTATGTTTATGTATGTGTTCCTTTACTTACTGTAACCTCTGGCACCTCCTTTATTTTATAAAACAAATTTTAAGTAACTTGGGTGGGCTACGTTACCGTTATCATCTATTCATCTATCTTCAATTGTACCGTACCCAAACATGTTTTCCAAAAGAGAAGATCCCAATTCTCATTTCATTTTTAATGGTCTAAGCTTTTTGAGAATTATTCGTTATTGGCATCTTGCTTACAATGAAATTTATAACAAAATGTAAATGTTCAACAACGCTAATACATAATAATTTATTTTATTCACTAGCGCTTTCAGAAACTAGGTTTCCATTCAAAAGCGCTAGTGCTAGTGAATAAAACAAATTATTTTATTGGCCTTGCCTTGTTGAACATAGCTGGCTTATTAATTGGAATCCTTCTGTACTTCTCGTCCATAAACTAAAAATAAACTTTTCCACATAAACTACAAAGTACTCCAGTGTTATTGATGTCTTCCATTACTCGTATTTCTCAGAATTTTCGCATTGAAGAAGGAGCACATCATCGATAATAAATTACCTCCGCAACACAGCAGCAATCAAAATCTATCAATACCTTTTACCTTTTACCTCTTCTTTCTTCACCACAATCCTCAGATCGGGGAGTCGTCAAAATTTCTCCTTCTTCATCTTCTTGGCAGCCTTTCAGCTAGCCCAGTGTAGGTGTGTATAAGTGTGTTCTTGTATGTATTCCTTTGTTGAGTAATATGGTTTGTTTATAAGGTAGTTTTTTAGTGTCTTTACAAATGTGGTATGATTTGAGATGTTTTTAATTTTTTCTGGCAGAAGATTTATGTATTTGGATCCTGTGTATGTTGGGGTGTTGCTGAATTTTTTTAGTCTGTGTTGTGGCAGGTTTATATTGTTTTTGTGTCTGGTGTTGTGATTATGATAATGTGACCGGAGTGTTGGATTGGATTTTTTTGCTAGGATTATGGTTTCTAGGATGTATTGTGAGAAAACGGTGGGGATTTTGAGCTGGATGAATAGGGGTCTACAATGTTCCAGATAGTGTGTCCTGCATATCGTCCGTAGTACTTTCTTTTGTAGGATAAGTAGTTTGTCCATATTGTTTGCAGATGATGATCCCCATGTTGCAATTCCGTAACTCAGGTGAGAAGCAAAAAGCGAGAAGTAGGCTATTCTGGAGGTTTCTTCGTCGGTTATGGTGCGAATTCGTTTGATGCCATAGTGTGCAGAGGCCAGTTTTTTACACAGATGTTCGATGTGTTGCTGCCAGGATAAATTTTTATCAACAATTATTCCCAGGAATTTAGTGGTTTCTTGCGTTGTGATACTGATGTTGGTCCAGTCGCTTTGATCTTCTAGGTTGTTGCTTGGTTTGAAATTAATGTGTGTAGTTTTACTGGTATTAAATTTTAAATTTAGGTTGTTGCATATTGTTGTTGCTTGTTCTACTGCTGTGGTTATGAGTTGTTGGTTATTTTTATTTCTATCTGTAGGTATTATTATGGTGGTATCATCTGCAAATAGAATACATTTGAATTCTTTTGATAATTTTTCCGGTACATCATTTATATATATCAGGAAGAAAAGTGGGCCAAGTATGGAGCCTTGAGGAATGCCTTTTGTATTCTGTTTGAGTGGTGATTTGGTTGTTATAATAATGTTGTTCACTTGCTGATCGGTTAATTTCAACATATTGGTACCTATGGTCAAGATAGTTCTTTATTAGTGCCAATGCTTCTCCTTCAATACGTACTTTTTTTAGCTTTTGTAGAAGTATATCCCAGTCCAATGAGTCGAACGCTTTTTGAAGGTCTAAGAAAAGTCCCGATGCATTTTTTCTGTCTTCCCAAATACTTGTTATGTCTTCGCAGAGTT